GTATTTATTTACTTGTTTACTGTCCCTTGGTAGTTTACATTTTCAGCTAGAGTATTGGCTGTAGGGGCTTAGGGAAATCCAGGGTTGTGGGGTGGAGGTTCCCAAAGTCTAAAAATATCCTGTTAAGCAGATTGTGTATGGGCAGTTCTTCTAGCAGGTCTAGGTTCCTTATTGTTCAGGTGTCCCACTGAGGAGATAGCCAACACGGTTGCTCTTGTAGTTCACCTACAGTTGGTTTAATGTTCTCCTCCTACAAATGCTCATGAAGCCTGCCAGCAGAGAAGAGGAAGGGCAGGAGATGTGTAGCCCCAGGAAACAGCGTTTCTTCCTTTGCATTATGAATTAACCACTAGAGGCCACTGTAGGATCCTTTAAGTGCACGGCAAAGCTTTCTCCCAATGTTGGAAGAGGAGGCATCAAAGTGGAGTAACACCAACTCATCCATCATGCTAGGCTGCAAAGCACTTTATTTCATTGTGGTGTCGTATAAAGACAGACATGATACTTCATAAACCATAGTTTACAGTTTAGTAGTTTGTATGAACCAGGCCCCTATGATTTGTCCCAAAACCAGGGTAGGATAACTGTGGCTTAGTGCAACATGTGTCCCCAGGAACTTTGTTCTCTAAATGAGGAGCCAGGATTAGACTACTCTACATAATAGTTATTTAAGCTGTTGCCTGTTAGATATAATACAACAACTCCCAGAATTCTCAGCCGCCATGGTTTGGCAAATGAAATTTAAATCTAAGTTTATGAAGTGACATTTCCAACAGTTAATATACTAGCCCTCAAAATGTAACTACTGTCCTTGAGAGATTTTGGAACTGACTTTGCAACTATGGTCATGTCATACAGGTGGTCCTCGACTTAGGATGACAATTGGGACCGGAATTTCCATCCCTAAGCGATGCAGTTGTAAAGTGCAGCTGCATTGCTTAGCAATGGCAATCCCTGCAGTCCCGGTTGCCGTCATTGACTGAATCCCACGGTGGTTAGGCAAGGCAACTTCCTGCCGGCTTCCCATAACCAAAGTCAGTGGGGAAGCCGGCAGGAAGTTGCAAGTCCCAGGCTGGCAGGCAGGTAAGTGGCTACTGCCAGTGAGGGAGGGTCAGGTAGGGCGCGCAGGGATGCACGGCAGTGAATGGCGGTGTGTGAGAGGTGCCATGTGGGTTGGGGAGGGTGCGCGGAGGTGCTGCACAGGTCTGGGAGGATGTACGTGTGCCCAGCATGGCGCAAGCACGGGGGGGGGAGGGTGCATGGGTGGGGGAGGCTTACCCCAGCGATTTGTGACCTTCCCTGCTGGCTTTCTGGAGAATCCAGCAGTTGTTGTTGTTTAGTCGTTAAGTTGTGTCCGACTCTTCGTGACCCCATGAACCATATTGCGCCAGGCCTTCCTGTCCTTCACTGCCTCCCTGAGTTTGCTCAGTCCGCATACAGATTTCTCAGGAGACAGGTAAGGTGGTCTGGTACTCCCATCTCTTTAAGAATTTGCCACAGTTTGTTGTGATCCACACAATCAAAGGCTTTTGCATAGTCAATGAAGCAGAAGTAGATATTTTTCTGGAACTCTCGTGCTTTCTCCATGATCCAGCGAATGTTGGCGATTTGATCTCTATTTCCTCTGCCTCTTCGAAACCCAGCTTGTACATCCGGTAGTTCTCAGTTCATGTATTAGAATCCAGCAGGGAAGGTTGCAAACAGTGATCAGAGGTCAAACCAGTCAATCTTAAAGGAAATCAACCCTGATTGCTCATTGGAAGGATCGATAATGAAGCTCAAGCTCAGATACTTTGGTCACCTAATGCGAAGAGAGATCTCTTTGGGTGGTATCGTCTGCATATCTGAGGTTGTTGATGATTCTCCCTGCAATCTTAATTCCGGCTTGTGATTCTTCCAGCCTGGCATTTCTCATGATGTACTCTGCATATAGGTTAAATAAGCAGGGTGACAGTATACAGCCTTGTCGTACACCTTTCCCTATTTTGAACCAATCGGTTGTTCCATGACCGGTTCTAACTGTTGCTTCTTGGCCCGCATACAGATTTCTCAGGAGACAGGTAAGGTGGTCTGGTACTCCCATCTCTTTAAGAATTTGCCACAGTTTGTTGTGATCCACACAATCAAAGGCTTTTGCATAGTCAATGAAGCAGAAGTAGATATTTTTCTGGAACTCTCGTGCTTTCTCCATGATCCAGCGAATGTTGGCGATTTGATCTCTATTTCCTCTGCCTCTTCGAAACCCAGCTTGTACATCCGGTAGTTCTCAGTTCATGTATTAGAATCCAGCAGGGAAGGTTGCAAACAGTGATCACATGATCATGGGGTGCTTGGCAACCAGTCATAAATACAAACAGATTGCCAAGCACCCAGATCATGATCACATGAGCATGGGGGTGCTGGGATGGCCATAACTCCGAGGACCAGTTGTAACCACCATTAGTTCGGCACCGTCATAAATTTGAACAGTCGCTGAACGAATGGCCATACAGTAAGTTGAGGACTACCTATAGTGGATTGCACAAAAATTGAATGATTAGAACCCCTCCCCAAAATTCTATTTCGTACTATTAGGAAAGTGGGGATAGAAATTTCTAGCACCTGGATAACAGGCATCCAGAACCCACTGCAATGACATCAGAATAATAACACATACATGATGATATCATAATGCAAATGCTGCAGTCGCAATGTCTGATGCCACTACCCAAGTCACAGCATTTGTGCATGACATCATCATTCATGTTCTGTTATTTGCCCCATCTGTGCATGCTGATGGTTAGGAACTAGGACCTGATTCATCCATGGCTAATAGAATATACAGTGTGTGGCTCAGGGTTGAACTGTGGAGTCCTTGGGGTTCTCTGAGCTTGGTTGTTTTCTTGCAAACATTTCA